CTGTCTCTCATGAATAAATAAATAAAATCTTTAAAAAAAAATAAAAAATTAGTCTCATTTTTAGTTATAATTTTGCAAATACAGAAATCCACCTGGGCATTTATTTTGCTTGGCTCATAAGCTTGGATAGGCACAGAGCTAACGGAAAAGCCAGAAATCCCACAGCATTTTTAGCTGGCTCTGCAGGGTATTATATTGGTAGCCATATTGTCACTGATGAGTAACTAGTGTGTGTCCCAGTGAGACCTTGTGCTTCAATTGCTATCCTCCTGTGTTCTGTGTGTGGCCATGAAGCTGGAACCATGCATGTGAAGTCTCTTTGTAATGGATACCACACGAGAGTCTGTAAGTTACCTCAGGTCTGAGCCATCTTCCACTTACGAGAAAACTTTCCAAATACAGTTGATGTTTGAACAACATGAGGTTGAACTGTGCCGGTCCATGAAGATGCAGATTTTTTGGGTAAAGACAGTACAGTACTGTAAATGTATTTTGTCTTCCTTCTGACTTTCTTAATAACACTTGCTTTTCTCTAGCTTGCTTTATTGTAAGGATACAGTATATAATACATATAACATATAAAATATGTGTCAATTGACCACTTATGTTATCAGTAAGGCTTGGTCAACAGTAAGCTATTAGTTAAGTTCTGAGGGAGTCAGAAGTTACCTGTGGATTTTTGACTGCACAGGGGTTGGTGCCCCTAACCCCATGTTGTTCAAGGTCAACTTTGTAAGTTCGAGTTCATTTTATAGATCTAATGTGAAAGGCCTCTCCACCCCTCCCTGCTTGTTGTTTTTAAGGGGAAATATTAGGAGTTGCAGTTGAAGCACTGAGAGTTGAAATTTTGGAAAGCCAGAAGAAATTGGTTCTCTCTGAACTTCAAACCACATTTCTCCATCTCAGCAGCTTGCACTGTGAATTCTGGACATGCTCCTCCCCCCCACACACACTCCCTCGCCCCTCCTCCACCCTTTCCCCCTCCCTCCCATCTCTCTGGAAGTTGTTCATTGGTGCAGTGCTTTGTGGGAAAGAGCTTTTTGGAATAGAGGCATGGTGACACGTTTTTTAGTTTGGGGGTTTAGCATCCTGGACATGCCAACAGGGCACAGAAATCATAGGTTCTCGAAAGCTTCTAATTGTATCAGGGCAACTGTCATTAACTGTCATCTGTTTGGATGTTCTCCTCGAGTCTGCACTTGCCAGTGGCATTTGTGATAATGGTTGTTTTATTTCACTCAGAGGCTTTTGTACTTATGGGAAAAGGAAGGAGACTTTGAGTTCTAAATAACTCTTTCTGTCACTTTTTAAATTTTTTTTCCCCAAGTGTTCTGTTTATATATTTTTTTAGGTGTACCATTCAGTGATTTGACATTTCTGTACATTTTGAAATGCTCACTGTGAGAAGTGTAGTTACCATCTGTCACCATACAAAGTTACTACAATATTATTGACTACGTTCCCTATAACTCTTATTTTTTAAAAATTTTAAAAGATTTTATTTATTTGAGAGAGACAGTGCGTGTGAACGGGAGGAGGAGCAGAGAGAAAAAGAAGGAGAGAATCTCCAGCAGATTCTGTGCTGAGCTGCTGAGCATGGAGACGCGGGGCTCCATCTCATGCCCCGGAGATCATGACCTGGGCTGAAATCAAGAGTCAGTTGCTTCATCGATTGAGCCGCCCAGGCGCCCCTCCCTTTAACATTTATAAATGAATATTTATAATGTTTTATGCAAGTGTAATCTTTTCTTACAGTTGCTAATACATTTAATATTTCTACTTCCATGCTACCGATTTCCTTCTTCATGTGTATGTAGTAAAAAGGAATACTGGAAGCAGAATTATGTATGAGAAAGTGCTGCCTAGGAGTCGGGTCTGGGCTCCGAGTAGTGCCTGTGGCATGTTTGATGTACGGTCTGAGCCTCCCTTTCCTCACTGTAAAGTGCATGTGAATGCTTGCCTCACCCAGATGTGAGGATGCCGTGAGGTAAAGACTGGAATGCCCCGAGGCCTCAGTGCTTGTGGGTTCATGCCCCTGTTGAAGCTCCCTGCTATGTTCAGTCCCTAGAATCATGACAAGTCAGCATAGCTGGACCATGGGGGGAGATGACCCTGACTGCTTGACCCTGCCCATCTCTTAACTTGCCTATTTTTAGAGTATGGAGGAAAGTGGAAAATGCTTCATTACTTTGCTCGGCATTTCTTCGCTCCGCTGTTGCCAGTGGGTTTTGAGGATCAAGACGTGTTTTTCATCTATGGTGTGTCAGACCTTCGCTCTGACTGCAAGGCAAAGCTCACTGTAAGTTGCTTGGAGTTTTTTCATAAGACAGAATGAGAGTTTTTGGTCATCTCTTTAGTTATTGGTTGTATTTCTTCTGGGAAAAAGAAAAGAGAAAGTAATTTGTATTGAAATGTTTCTAAGTGCCTGTCGCAGAAAATGGGCTGTCCTTGGACTCAGAATACCTGTACCTTCAGGGTAAAACTCTGCCATTTATCCCGTGACCTTAAGGCTCAATGCCTTGGTGATTCAGTTTCCTCATCTGTGAATATCATATCTTCACTTGTCAGCCTGTCTTGAAGGATTTCAATGGGCAGTGAATAAAATAAACAATAAAATAATTAGACGAAAGCAAATTATAAACTGTAAAGTGCCACTATGATGTAAGGTTATATAATCACAAGAAGCTGGAAATAGCCTGAACTTGACAGAAAGAAATCCTTAAAAGTGGTTTGTTAAAGTGAAAATCTGTAAAAGAATTCCGAACGTATATGGAAAAATACACCTGTATTTAAAACAATGCGAGGCAAAAAGGGAGGAACTCAAAGAGTCTCAGGTGGTTGCAGTTTGGGGGACACTGCAAATAGGTCACAGTTACAGAATAATGACAGTGCACCAGGTCCTGTGTCTTCCATAGATTACTTTATTTAACTCTCACAACAGCCAGTGAAGTTAGTGCTGTTCTTATTCTCATTTTACGTGTGAAGAAACAGAGCCTTTGAGGAGTTGAGTAACTTGCTTTGTTACAAGCTCTGGTACTCAGTGGGGCTGCAGTTAAGCCCAGGGCTCATAGGCTCTTAACTAGTTCTGCTACTCTGACTTCCATCTATTATTCTCTAAAAAAAAAAAAAAAAAAGATAGCAACCAAGAATGTTTGTTTTTGCTCTGTCTTGTTTCTCCCCAGGTGAGAGTCCACACGTGGCGTTCCCTGGAGCCATTGTGCTCCTCTGAGACGGAGCATTTTGTCCTGAAAGCAGGGGAGGCCGTTCTCCTCTATAAGGAGTCGGTGCCTGTATTGTTGGAGAATTGTGGGAATTGTACACGGCAAAGCTGTGTGGTTTCCTTTTACCTTTCAGCTGACAGCCAACTTGTGAGCCCAACCAACTATCACTTCCTGTCTTCACTGAGTGAGAGCGTGGGGCTCCACAAGGCGCACATCACCGTAAGTACCAGTGGCCTGGGGTCCCCGTGGCCTTGCAGAGGTGCCCTGCTTCTGGGGCAAGCACATGGCATCCTGCATTTTGCAGAATTTCTCCTTGGTACTGAGTTTACCCGGGACCTGGGGAATGGTAGTCTCTTCCCACTGGAAGCAAAGACCAAATGACTGCTTTTCTAATTCAGTGTCTGTCAGAGTTTCGGGTTCCTGCCACCCCCACTACCCCTTGGCCCCTAGTGGGCTGGACCGGGGCAGGAAGAGGCAGCAGGACTTGTCACCGCATTCCAGGCTCTGTCCCCGGCCTTTCCTGCTTCATCCCTGAAGTGTCATGCCCCGCCCTGACGAGCCAGCAGACCTGTGTAAAGGGGGGGACCAGGCAGCCCCAGCAGAAACACTCTGACTTTGAGGGTTTAAGGACAATCGATGAATTTTTAAAAATTTCCCTCTGCTCTCTTTGGTTTATTGCTTCAAAGTAGCTTAATCACCAAATCTATAATTGCCAAGAAACAAATGGGATGGCCAGGATGTGTTGTTACAAAAATTGTGCAGCTGGAGAACGTGGAGTCTGTCTAGTTGATTGAAAACCTTTCCTACCCTTTCCCCGACACACGGACACACGGTGATTGAATGTATTCTCTAGAAAGTTTTACTCTCTGTTTAGTGAAGGTTAAATCTGTTTCAGACCTGTACTTCATTGAGAATGCTTAAGTGACAGGGCTTATTTGCATTTACTTAGAAATAATCGTATTAAAACTCAGTCCTTGAAATGAAAACCTATCTTTCTTTCTAATTAATAGTGAAATGTTCACATGATGAAATGTAAGTCATCTGTGGCAGCCGAGGTAGAGCAGCCTGAAGGGAATGCCATACATTTACACAGCTTCTTTCCAGAAAAACAACAACAACAATAATGGCAACAAAACCGAAACACTGTAGCAGACAAATTCGCAGTCTCTAGACTTGGAGTTTTGAAATCTTTTTCTCTTTCCTAAACCAGGCCTTCATTACCTTGGGGCAAGTGGGTGTGGGAGAGAGGTGGGACTTGTTCCTTTGTCCTACCGCATTTGGACTTCAGTGAGACTTGCCCTTCCTAAAGGGATGTAACAGTAGTAATAACAGTTAACAGTTACTGCAGGCCTAACACGGGCCAGGCACGCGGGTGTGCTGTCCCCAGAAGGATGCCAGGAAGTTGTTGACCATACCTCCCGGAAGCCAGGCTACGAGCTTGACCCTGGGCTCTGCAGTCACATATAGAGATGAGACTTCAGATCGGAAGCAGGCAATACGAGGGAGCCAGCAGCAGTGTCCCTTCTGGCTTTGGCCTCGGAGCCACAGTAGCTGAGGCGTCCCTGGCAGCCTTGCAGGCCGGCTGGGGCCAGCCGCGCGGGTGGCATGCCTGGGCCTGCCTTAGGGTCTTCACCCAACCGCTGGGCGGCGTGGTTTGGGAATTCAACATCCAGCTTGGGACCTGACTCTCCGAAACTCCGAGAGATACCTAATACGCTTTGTTAAGTTTCTTTGCGGTTTCCTCCAAAGTACGTTTTCTTGTTTATAACTCAGAACCCTCCATGATGTGTAAGGCCAAAATTATATAGAGTAAAAATGGCTCCTTGAAATTCTCTATGCCACACATCACGTGCAACGTCAGACCCACGGTGTGGCGTGTCTGCATGTTGAGGGGGTCACGTTTCATGTCAAAGGCACAGCCTTAAGTACCAGATCAGTCTCAGCTGCATGCTCCCACTGAGAGAAACTCACAACCCCCTACCCTCTGGGGCCCAGCCCAGCCTAGCCGCGCTTTAGCGGGCGCTAACTGGCGAGTGAATGACAGGGCTTAAATTGCACTTTCCTTTGCTGATACTGTGTGGGATCTGCACGTGTTGAAAGTGCTAATAATGTGGCTTTCTGGTACTATGCAGCAGAAGAGAGAAAGCTCTAACGGTAGAGCTTTTGTAAATGCCTGGCAGGCGGCTGCCTAGGTTGCTGGATCTTTCTAGAAGAACAAGCTCCATGGTGGTGCTAGCTCCACATATATCCTGAGAAAGTCATTGAAACTTCCCAGCCCTTATGCCAAAATGTTCCTCTCCTGATCCCCTGAGAAAAACTGTAAAAGGTATAAAGCTCTGAGCTTCTTGTGAAATATTCTCCTTAATAATTGGAGACGACGTATTTCTACACTTGGCTGGAGGTTACAGTTTGGTAATTTCCCACAGCCTTAAATAAATTCCCATGTATTTTCTAGTATCTGACACAGTACATGGAATGTCAGACTTTGGCAGTGACAGAGCCAAAGCTGGAGGAGATGCGCTCCTTGTTGGCCCCCGTAAATGTTCCGATAGGCATTGTGGATAGAACAGGTAGGTCTCCCCTCGCCGTTCACTTAATTTATCTTTTTCTTTCAGGCCGTCATCTCTCAGCAAGGTGACACATTTGCTTTTGATCTGGAAACCTCCACTGTTGCTCCCTTTGTTTGGTTGGATGTAGGAAGCATCCCCGGGAGATTCAGTGACAATGGTTTCCTCATGACTGAAAAGACGCGGACTGTATTATTTTACCCTTGGAAGCCCACCAGCAAGAGCGAATTGGAGCAATCTTTTCGTGTGACTTCCCTGACGGATATTTACTGAGGGAGTGAGTGCAGGGTGGATTTTCAGCGGACCCTGGAATAAAGCCTTTCTAAGGCCCCAGCTGGAGCCGAAGACAGCCAGAGACAAGATCAAGAAGCGAGGAAATGTGTCCACCTGCCGCCACATGTCCGATTCATCCTTCTGTGCAGAGTTTGTATGGTGTGTTCTGCCGGGGAAGGCTGCTTACTCAGGTGACATCCTCCAGCAAGGCTGGGCATCGGTGTCCTTCAGCCTGTGCCAGGCCTGTGACTTTAGCCCTCCCCCTCCAGCTCTCGCACCACATGACCCGGTTATGACCCGACCACCTGAGCTGAATGCAGACATCTAACTGACTGAGCCACCCAGGCGTCCCAATAAAAATGATTTAAACCCAAGCTAAAAGAAGTACCACTTTGCTGCCAGGGTCAACAAATATAAATCTAATTCACAGCTTTTGAATTGGAAAATGCACCCCCCAGGATGGTGCTTCCATTCACGGAGCCCTCATTATGTGCCAGCACTGGGCCTAGCCCTTAGCTAAACTTTAAATTTATTCTTCAGGGCAAACTTACAAGGGCAGTGTATGTATTCCCATTTCACTATAAGAAAACTGAGCATAGAAGTGAAGTAACTTATTAAGAGCTAGGAAGGGCAGAACTGTGATACAAATTCTGGTCCATCAATTTCAAAGCCCACCTCACAGGGGTGAGCCCGGTAATGGGTATCAAGGAGAGGAATGTGCTGTATACACGTTATCTCCATAAGAGAATGGTAACGTTGGAAATGGTCTTCCACAGCTCATGTGTGGCGCTGTGTTTGGTCATCTCTACCATTTTAATAGATTTTATTTTGCCACACATACTGGGTTAGAGTCTGATGTACCTACTCTTGGCTTTGGATTTCTGAGAAGACTTTTCTGCTAATAGTTATGCAAACATTAACAGAGAGAATGGAAAGAGCTGGGTGGGGCCCTTCTGCCATGCTGGATGCAAAGCACATTCGAGTGTGAGATGAAGAGAGAATTCACGGGATTGGATTCCGTCTTCTCATGTGAGAACCAAGAGTTCAATAAAAATGGTAATTTCCTCATTCACATTCACTGTAACTCTTCTTGTTTTTTTTCTTGCTTGACTTTTCATTGTGAGAGGTTTTCAAACCATGGGAAGTCACTTGGAAAATAAATAGGAAGATTGTTTTCTCTGTTGGAATGAAAGTGAATTGGAGCACAGGAGAAATAAAGCTGAGTTTCTCACACAGTCCCAAAGTGACAGGGACCCGAGACAGAAAGAATCCTCTTGTCTTAGATGTGAAACTTGCTCCCCAACTTGGTAAGATTTAGGGAGAAAAACCAGTAGGCATTATTTGTGCATGAAATTCAAAGCATTTCAAAATCTGCCCAGAATTCTTGTTTTCTAATAGACTTATCAGAGGGTATCAACCACTTGATGGTTGATAGTGTACAAGACCCTAAAAGTCACAGACAAAACCAGGATTAAGACACATCTATGTTCTGACTGTAAAGACTGTTGAGCTTAATTTATTCGTTCATTTACCAAGCATTTATTGAGGGACACTCTGAGCAGCGGGTGCTGTCCTGGTCACGGGGTTACTGCAGTGAAAAAAGGCAGACAAGTCTCTGCTCTCATGGACTGTCCATCGTAGGGGTGTTGTCAGAATCCGACCTCTGGGCTTCAGGGCCCAAATATAACTCAAAGACAGAGTTTGGGATAAAGAGAACAAGAGCTTTATTGCTTTGCCGGGCAAAGGAGGCTGCAGCAGGCTATGGCCTTCAAAAACTGTAAGCCCCACGCCCACCCCCACCCCCAGAGAGGGTCTGGGGGGTTTGTAGGGAAATACAGGATCTAGCTGGTTTCGACAGGAATTGTATATGCTGTTAGTCCGTTTCACGGTGGGCCTGGGATCCCGAAACAAAAGGCTAAGAAGGGAGGAGGGGAAGTTTGAGGAAGAGAGGAAATGGGTTACTTTATTTTTATTTTATTTAAAGATTTTATTTATTTAGAGGGAGTGAGCAAGCGGGGGAGCGCGGCAGAGATGAGGGAGAGAGAATCTCAAGCAGATTCCCTGTGGAGCACAGAGCCTGATGCGGGGCTGGATCCCATCACCCTGAGATCATGACCCAAGTGACATCAAGAGTCGGACGCCCAATAGGCCGAGCCGCCCAGGCGCCCTGAAAAAGTTTGCTTTAAAATCGATTTTGCTGAAGCTCTAGTGTAGCCATTTTGACTTTTGTTCAACTTTATGCTTTTAAGTGGTTTCCGGGGGGAGACAGACAACACGCAAGTAGACAAATAAGGCCATTTCAGCTGGTGACAAGTCCTGTAAGGTTAATGTGACAGTGATACGGGGAGCAACGTTAGATAAGGTCATCTTGTTCAACCCTTTAGGAAAGTTGTTTTGAAAGTTTATGATAAAATACCAATGAAAAAAAGCTTTTCAATTGAGAAAAGAGTCTTAAAAGATCTTCACTGTAATTAATACATAAGGAAGGAAAAGCACAAGACCAGGTAGTTAGCGAGGCTGGACTCTGAGCTTGAGATTGTTAAACCGAGGCTGGGCAACCTGCCAAGACATCTTTGAGCCCTTGAATAGGGGCCAAATCGTGAATGCGCTTTGCAGAAGTAAAGGTCCTGCGTCACTCTGTCAGGTTTATCACTACCTCTCCTTCTGTCTTCGACATGGGTTACTGAATCCTGCCGTGAAAAAAACGTTTGCAACAATAATGCAGCTTAGCCCTTAGGTCGGGTCTCAGCGTTTACACAGGATTTATTGAGCAACAGCCTGTGGCGCATTGTGCCATGAGCATAGTACAAAGTACAGCGCTGTACAAAGGATGACAGTAACACCTTAGTGACCTAGAATTCCCAGGAAATGGGCTGTCAGGTTCATGGAAATTTCTGGTTGAGTAATAGTACTCATTTCCTGGCTCATCATCCATGTGAGAACAATCCCTATGTTCTTATTCTGTTATTGTTTTTGTGTTTTTTTTTTAAGATTTTATTTATTTATTTGAGAGAGAGAGAGCAGGAGCAGAGCGAGACGGAGAAGCAGGCTCCCCGCTGAGCAGGGAGCCCGACGCGGGGCTCCATCCCGGGACCCTGGGATCATGACCTGAGCCGAAGGCGCCCCCTTATTCTGTTATTGTTACTTACTTAGGCTTTTGTAAAATTTACTGGATCCTGAGAGACAATTCACATATTCCCAATAGTTGGGGCAGACATTATGGGCCAGCCACCCGACAGCCATATCCACCTCTCCTCTGCTAATAGAGGTGACTTTGTGTCCAGCCCCACGGACTGAATTGTAATTTGTTATACTAATTCTGTTCTTTGCCAAATATTGGTCGAGGGTGAGGCATGTGACCCACTTCTGGGGAATGAAATACAAGTTGACACTTAATATGGGGTTTGGAGTGGGAAGGTTTTCCTGCCTGACAAGGAAGAGACCTGAGGAGGAACTCTGCTGTTGGTGAAGTTGAGAAGTTGCTGTGTGAGGATCTGATACTTGGAGCTGCTACAGCCTTTTTGTGAGCTTGAGGAATCATTGTTGACACCGGGGCATGTCAGAGATGTTGAGCTGCTGAGCTAACCCGGCAGTCATCTAACTCTGGTCTTCTTATGAAAAATAAGGCCCTATTTGTGTAATCCAGCTGTAGTCAGGTATTCTTATTTTACAACCAAAAATATCCAAATTGATATAGCAGTTAAGGGTGTGGGCTTTGAAATCAGACGTACTTACGTTTGACTTCCAGACCCACCACTAGTAGGCTGTTTGACATTGCATATAAGTTACTGAGTCTTTCTGTGCCTTTATTTCTTTATCTTTAAAAATGGGAGGGGTGTCTGGGTGGCTCAGTTAAGCGTCTGCCTTCTGCTCAGGTCATGATCCCAGGGTCCTGAGATCGAGCCCCGCGTCAGGCTCCCTGCTCACTGGGGAGTCTGCTTCTTCCTCTCCCTCTGCCCCTCCCCCTAGCTCGTGCTCCTTCTCTCTCCTTCTCTCTCTCAAATAAATAAACAAAATCTTTTTTAAAAAATGGGAGTAATATGGGGCGCCTTGATGTCTCTGTTGGTTAAGTGTCCAACTCTTAGTTTCAGATCTGGTAGTGATCTTGAGGTCGTGGGACCAAGCCCTACATTGGGCTCCCCACTCAGCATGGAGTCTACTTGGGATTCTCTCTCTCCTCCTCCCTCTGCCCCCCACAACCCCGCTTGCGTGCTCTCTAAATAAATAAATAAATAAATAAATAAAATCTTTTAAAAATTGGAATAATAAAATAATAACACTAGTGAGGACTAAATTAGATGATGCCTAGATATTGATAGCACACAATAACTATTCAACAAATGTTGGCTATTATAATTATCATTTCCTCTGTTTTAAGTCATCAAAGAAAGCCTAGGCATAGGCAGGTGGTCAGAACAGGAACTTGCTCAGGCACTGGGTGATGGCTGGGAACGGTATCAGCCAGGGTCCCTGCTGGGAGGGAGGGGCCAGCAGTGGCACATGGAAAGGGAGAGTTAAAGACCTTGATTCTTTCCCAAAGCCTTAAGCTCATCACTCTACCTGGTCATCCTGAAGGTACAATTGTAGAAAGTGTGGGTCAAGTTGCACAGGTCATATTTGGCCAGCAGATAATTTTGTTGGCACAAATAGTGATTTGAAAGGTTGAATTACTTGCCAACAAGGGAACATTCCATGTGAAATCTAGATCTATCTATCTCTCATCTTGTAATGATAAAAGAAAGCCACTATTTGTTTAATTCAATCATAGGCATTCTTACTCTGTGATCAGAAGCATTCAAACAGATGCAGGCATGGGCTTGGAGGTCAGACATAGCTGGGCCTTGGAGAGGGTGGTGTGGATGCCGAGGTTTTCTCCCAGCCGAGGGCCTCCTGGTCGTCACTTGCCTGCATTTGGGTGTCTCTAGTAAGGAAAGCGGTGGAGGCCTGACTTGCCCAGGTGAGTGAAGGAAGAACCCTGCTCTTTTATCATGGGAAGCCAGCCCAAGTTGGGTGATTGGAGTGTTTCCCTATCTATGTTTTTGGTGCTTGAACAAAAAGCTTTTTAGCTCATCGAACTTGCAAATACAATGAACTAGATTTTCCCATGTTACAGATCCAAACGGTGTGTGTGTGGTGGGGGGGGATGTGTACACACATGAAGGCCCCACGTAGTGCAGTGGCTCACGCTTTGATATGGAACCTCCAGTAAGCAAATCTGGCTCTAGATCGTACTGAACTTGGACAAACCACTTAAGCTCCACACTTCTGTTTCCTTATGTTTAAGATGGGGTTAATAGTAATTAGGATCTCATAGGATTGTGAGGATTAACTAAGGCAGGATGTACAATGCCTAGGATGGGCAAGTAGCAAATGCTGGCTTACGAGGTTGCCCTGCCAAAAGAAAAAACAATTTAAGTCCTCTCTGCTAAGGGAAAATAACATCAGGATTCTGTGACCTGAATTGAAGGAAAAACATTCAGGCAGAAAGCCCAAGAAGTTTCTAATTCCCTTTTCTTGTAAGCCTCTTTCTAAATTTGTTGAAGTAAAAAAAGTTGAGTAGCAAGAGGCAGACCAGCTGCTGCATGATTGTGCAAAATTCTGCTTCTTCCAGCAGAGGCCTCCTGTGCACAGGAAATGGGGCCGGTGGGGCCAGGGTGCTGGTTTCCAGGAGGCTTCCCCTGAGGAAGGTGCGGAAGAGACTCTGGGGAAGAGCGTGCAGGGTGTCTCCCCGCATCCCCAGCCCCTCTCTGCCTCAGAGTGCTGGAGGCCAGTGTCCCGGAATGGATGAGTCTTTCTTCAAGGAAAGAAAGAAGAAAAAGAGAAAGAAAGAAAGAAAGAAAGAGAAAGAAAAAGAAAGGAAGAAGAAAGAGAAAGTGGGTGGGGGATGTGGAGGATGGAGGGAGAAAGGAGGGTGGAGGAAGAAAAAGGAAAAAAGAAAGAAAGGGAGAGAGAGAAAAGAAAAGAGGAAAGAGAGAAAGGGCAAGAGGAGGACGACAGGCAGACAGAAAAGGGAGGGAGGGAGGAAAAATGGAAGGAGGCAGGGAGGCGGGGAGGCCGAGGGAGGGGGGAGGAGGGATT